TCAAAGGTGTGATTCTTTCAGAAATTGGCCTTTTTTTTAAGAGTCTGTATATTCCAGTTAGCAATTAATTAATTACTAAATTAGTTGATGGTTATTTCAATAAGTGATTAACTGAGATTCATTCGATTAATTACACTTATGTCTTAGAACATGAAAGCAGCTGGAGCCACTCACCAATGTTGTACTCCTGCACATTGCTGATGTAACCGTAAAGAGGACAATGTCCGAACAGGACCAGCATGACGGGACTGTCCCACTCCTGCGCGGGCGGCACTATGTGGGCCGAATGTCCCACCACAGCGTACTGGTCCTTGGGCCGCGGGTTGAGGAGGACCCAGGTCTGGTTCTGGATGTGGAAAACCCACAGCTGGCTCGACACATTCCCGGTTGAGTCGATCTTTCCTCCGTACATGTAGATCTTCCCCTGGAAGAAAGAAGGATTCTTTCAGATTTTTTTATTTTTTTTCCCTTGTAACAAGACCGTGTATTAAGTGAAAAAAATCTGCCAGTTGAACTAACACTGTTTTAATTAATATTAAGGAATTATTGACTTGCTGAAAAGTTACTTGTATGTTAGTTTTGTCTTATTTCAAGATATCTGCACTAGAAACGAGACCAAACTCTTATAACTTGGTAAGATTTGGTGTTTCTTAAAGTGAAAGATACAATTAATTCATAAATACCACATATTAATATGCTTGTCCTGCACATCAGGACACAACTATGATTTATTATTCCATCAGCAGATCCAGACATGCTGACTGGAGTTGCCCAAGATGCTGCAGCAAAACATCAGAGCCTGAACATTTCTACATTAGACACAGACACGAGTCCAGAAACAGAACCTTGAGATAACCTTTGTGTTTGTCTCTGGTGTGGATGCCACTGATTCTCTTCTCTCTCCATCTTCAAACTTCATGAACTTGAGGCTAATTAACTATGTAAATTAACATTCATGGAGTTTTAGGAACACTTAAAGCCACAGGCGACGATCTCTCACCCACCTCGTGAAGAGCGAGCGAGTGGCCGTATCGAGGGGTCACCGTGTTGACGGAGGGGTCAAGGGTCAGCCAGGTATTGCTGCTGAGATTGTAACTAAAAGAAAAAAAGAAAGAAGTGGAAAAATGATTTCGGTTTAGATTTGAAAACGTCTCTGTCTCAAAAGCAACTCATCCGGGTTGGGAAACAAAACGGAGGAGAAACCAAGCCCTTTGTTTGTTCTGTTGAATAAACAAAGCTGCTCAGGTTGATCTGCGGTGTCTGCAGGAGGGTCATCACTTCTACCAGAGGAGAACAGACGGAAAGGGTCGAACCACAGGTCTCTGGCGGGAGCAGAAACAACAACTAGAGATGTTCAGACTGTCTGCGATGCCCCCTGCTGGCCCGTTCTCATAAAAACACTTAGGGCAGGCTGAATGATGCAAAACAAACTCATCAAACCCTGCGGGTACTCAATGTGAAATCTGCAAAAACAGGAAACTAGAAGCAAAGGGCAAAAGGGGGAGAGAGGAGGAACAAGAAAAATGGAGGTCAGCCACAAAGATGCATCAAAGAGGGAAAAGCAAGGACAGAAGGAAGGAAATTTGTTTGCAATAAATAAAAAGAAAGAAAGGAGAGAAGAAAGGAAGGGATGGATGGATGGACGCAGCATAAAATGAATGGAGGATTGACCGAAGGCAAGACGACAAGAGACGCAAGGAAAGGGAGGAAGAAAGAAAGGAGGTAGAGCAGAAGGACGGAAGGACAAATGAGAGAAAGACAGAAAGAGCAAAAGAGGAAAGGGAGCAAGAAAGGAAGGAAAAAAGGGAAGCAGCATTTAAACAGTGGGACAGGGAATAAACTCTTATTTTCTTTTTCAACCTTTTTTCAGTCCTGGAAAAATACTGAAACCAATATTCTGATTTCCCTCCCATATTTCTTTGCCGCTTTAAAAAAAAATCTAAAACAATCCTGAGCTTTGATTTGAAGGAAATGGTGTGATATTCCAGAGCGGTGTTTAAGATGAAGAACGTTCTCATAAAAATAACTTCATTTTAGCCTCGTGTGGGAAGAAAAACTCTCTCAATGTTCTTTATTTTCTCAGTAAAACTTTCAGTGTGTGGATTCCCTGCAACAGTCGAACTCTAGTGCTGCACTCAAACACTTTAGAAATATTAAAGCCCATCAGTCAGACCAGCATGTTCTCATCTAGTTGGACCAGAAATGCAGCCGGTGGACCCAGACTGAACAGGTGAGCCACTCACGCTTTGACCATGTGGTAGTCGGACGTGTTGAAGACGTAGCCTCCGATGACCCACATGACGCCCTGCTCCACCACAGCCTTGTGGGACGCCCTGGCCAGGCCGGGCTCCAGGTGCTCCTCACGGCTCCAAAACGAGGAGTTGGCAGGAACCGAGACGGAGCAGTCCGGACCTGAGGAGGGACGGGACCGACGAGTCAGAGAGTTTCTCAGCTCAGCAGGTTTCACTGTTGGGATGGTGTGTTCAGGCGTTCGGATGTGGGATTCATTTTGGTCTCAAGGAACCAAAGCACCTTATTAAAAAAGGCAGCAGTATGTGTTTTCCAGGCACATAGTGCCATTTTATATGACTACTGATTAACCAAATTATCTTCAGTTGTTAGAAAAATGTTATGTATACCAAATACGACTCGTACGATTGATTTATTGCGACAGGCCTAGAGGTGACAACATATGTTTGTAGAGAATCTGTTTGTGCTTAAATAGACATTTTAGTTTGGATGCAAATTGGACCAGATTTCCTTCATTTTGGGAGATTTTTGATCAACTGATATTTAGATGAGAAACCAATTTTTTTTGCACCAAAATCAGAATCAGCGGGTCAGCTTTCTTTAAAGAGCTGTACATCCTTACATTTAAGGTTTTCATTTTAAAGTCATGTACAGAAGAACTACATTCACTCTGTTGCCTTGTTGGGTCGAGTGCAGCAATCATAGGTGCCTTCCTGTGTTTATGAACCAGAACAATGCGGCCGACACAAACCGGAATCCTCAGAGAATGAGGGGAAGAGAGAAAAAGAGAGAGAGAGAGACGGCCTTTCTGCTAAAACAGCTAGCAATAGTCGAGAAACGGAAAGATTGTTTCTCATCAGCTGCCTGCGGTAGAGTTCATCTCTAATCTCTGATGGCCCAAAACACTGGTGGCGTTCTGCCTCTTCAGCTCTTTCAGAAAAACCACCAACTGTAGCGTCTGGTCCTTCAAACTACCGTCATTTTCCACAGCAAAAAGATCAGACATGAGGCCCGCTCCACTTCACAGACATCTGCCCACATTTGCACTTGTTGGCGTAGAAAATGAGATGGCTCTGAAGGCAGCAGTAAAAAAAGCAGGAGAGGCTGCAGTTCCCCCCATGACAAAGGTAATAAAGGCTAAAGAAAGTGGCTGTCTGTTGCTAACCTCCCTCAGCTTTTGGTAATGAGATAATAAGCACGCAGAGCTGCTGATATAAGTGCGGTTAAATTGAGCGGTGGTGTCTGTTCATGCAGAGCAGCGCCGCCGAGCTGTTGGAGCAGCTAACAAAGCAGCTGGAAGGGCCAGATGGTCCGGCTTCAGGGACACAATAATGTCACCGAAATAAAAATAAAAAAAAACAAGAAGCAGCAGATTGGGCAAAAAGTTTAAGTCATTCTGAGTGGAGCAGGTGGATGTTCAGGGCAACAAAAGCTTCGATAATAGCAGAAGCACCAAATTTAGTCAGAGCTGAAATAATGATGCTGGAGAGATTAAATAAAACATTATTATATCTTAGTGCTATTAATACAAACATAGTTATTCTAGAGTTGTATGAAAATTTAGCACCGCCACATTTTTCAGGTTGAAGATTCAGCACTTTTTCAGATTCCTGTAGTTGGAGTTTATTATTCTAGACTCCATATCACAAAACATTTATTTGCACTAGACACAAATCAGGAAGCGGCACAATGGGGAAGTCGGCTTGAAACTCAGTCATGTGCTAAAGGGCTATTTCACAGCATTTTGTCAACTTGCATCAAATCCATTTCAAATCGAATAATAATTTATTGGACAAGTGGTATAATCTCTTCACTGCGTTTTTATTTACTCTCTCTGCTTTATTTGTGCACATAGTAGACATTATGGTTTGAATGGGAGGTGATGGTGTGGGGGTGTTTTGTAAGAGTTGTCCTGATACGATATTGGTATCGATACAGTATCGGACTGTATCAGCCTGCATCTACAAACTGAGATGCTCCAGGATTTAGTCTGGCCCAGAATTTCTATCCAGCAGTGCTCATATCCCACAACTCGTTGGTTATTAACATACCTATTGTTGTTGACTATTCTTCTTCTTTCTTTACCAAATCGCATGGCAGCTTCTGCAACACTTTTTTAAAATTGTGAGTGTGAGCCCAAAACATCAAACACAGAATTAATTTTTTACACGCAGACCGAGCAGAACCAAGCTAGTTAGAAAAGTTTGTAGTTCTCCTGAGCTCTTATCGGCTCTTAGCATGATCCAACAGCTCCACATGAAACAGAATCACCGTTTCATGTGTAGCTGTCCAAGTCTACTCTTTAGTTTTTTTCCCCTTACTAAAAACAACTCTGCAGCTAATGAGAGAGAATCACAAACACCAAAAAGCGGCAGACTGTGCTTCAATGAACATCTCATATTAATTCTGCATAGTGAGGCTTTTGACCACCGTTCAGTTTCACTTCTGAGAACAGAGTGATTTAAAACCCGACGTCGGAAGTGCTGTGGTTCATCACGTTTCATGTCAGAACGCGGCGCGGCAGAACCAACGCCTACCTTGCCATTCGGCTTTGCAGATGCAGCTCTTTCCCTGGCAGTGGCCCCTTTCAGGGTAACCGCAGTCATCCAGGCAGTATGGGATGTCGCAGGCTTCCCCCTTCCAGTTGGCTTCACACTCGCAGTAAACGGAGGTGGTGGAGTTCCCCACCCGGCACTCGCCGCGGCCGGAGCAGTTGTTGGGACACGTGTTGACCCTACCATGGAGACGCACATGGGGAGAAGGACAGACACAAGGCGTCAGCTTAAAGAATGATGAACGCTTTTATTACAGATGCATTCATTCTTAGAATCTATACACAGGGCTTGGTTAAGCCTGTCACAATAACAAATTTTGCTGGATGATAAATTGTCCCAGAAGATACTGTGATAAACTATAATATTGATGTTTTGAGTAGTTCAAGTAATATAATGATAAAGGCATAATAATTATTTCCATATTTAAAATCACATATGAATATGTTTTGTCATTAAATAAGTCATTAGAAAAAAACCATGACCACTCTACTTCCTGTCATCATCCTCCACATGGTTTCTGCCAATAGCAACATCCCGTTGTTGATCATGTGACCAGTGTGATAGAAAAAAGTGTTTCCATTGCAGTTTTGTGATATAAACCAATTTTGATACGACCGAAAAAAATTAAAATTAAAATCCACATCATTCTAGTGCCAAAACTTTATTGACAAACATGTTTCTTTTTGGGAAAAGAAATATGCCAATTATCGGAAATATGCCAATTTCCGATAAGGAAAATTATTCTGAAAATGTTACAATTTTACAATTAGAAAATTATATATCAGGACACAACATAAGAACTCAAAACAGTCTGGGGAAAAAGAAACCTTAGGACTTCTTTTAATTATGGAGAATTTACAACATTTCTGATAGGAAAGAATGTTTATGTACAAAGGAAAAAATTAAGTTGTGTCACATTTTGATCGAAACTGAAGCTTTCAGCCATCAAAGCAGGACACAACAGTGAGATGTTCATTTCTGTCCTTGAACAGGCATTCAAGACACAAAGGGCCTCCCTCCCATCATTCTTTCATGTTCCCTGTTTTGGTTAAAGGTTTGATGTTCTGGCTACTCCGCCTTCATCCCGATTGTGTGTTTCTCCGCCAGCGCCGACTCTCATCACGATGGCAACGGTATCGACGAATCAGGGAAGAGCCTGGGGAGGGGAGCCGCTGTGCTCTTTAGAGATGATAACAGCGGACAGTGGCTCTGCTTTGGGTTTGAAAGGCTTTTGGATTTTCTAAGGCAAATTTGATGTCTAAAGGATTTGTTTTTCCCCATTTGTCAAAATGTACCGTTTTTTTTTTGTTTTTTTTTTTTAATCAAACATTACCAGAAAAAAATACACATCCTATTTTTATGAGGCTTTAGGATGACATATTTAAGACGATTTAAGGCCTTTTTAATGCCAAGTGAGCTAGCTTGATGGCTATGTAGCTAGCCTAGTCACAGGATGGACTGGCTTATGGCAAAGCTTTGCCTGACTGAAACTCCCACAAAGACAAAAAACTAAACATACGAGAATATGAAATTAAAGAGTCCAACAAAGTTTAAGACCCCAAACTAAATGGACTGCACTCATCATAAGACGACACCACATAATCATTCATTTATCATCAGTCTAGTGTACTATATAAAGTCAAATGCATATGTAACAATGCATAAATTGTGGTAACCGTGGAGGAGAGCTCACCTGTATGAAATATTGAAGCCTGTCAGGTTGTAGGCTGCGTCACTGAAGAAGTGCAGCAGGGCGTAGCCGGACTGGGACACCACCTCAGGAACCGTCTCATTCCCGTATCGCTCCGGAACAATCAACCCACTGGAATAAAAAAAAACAAACAAATAAAACATATAGTTACGTTTCAAATCTTTCCTCACATGGTAGGCCTATGTGAAACCCATCCCGTGTTCGAACACTACAGTTAAACGTACTGAATTTTTTTATTTGTTCATTTGTACGAAACAGTATAAAGTAATTTGTAATTTCTCAGTGTTGTTATTACATATCAAGGGTTCCACAGAGGTTGGCAAATTTCTAAATATCTAAAGTTAAATCTTTAGGGCTGCACCGATTGCAGCTGTCTGACCGATCACAGATCTTTAAAAAACCTGACCTGTTAATTCTGATTTTGGCCAATGCTGATTTTGTTACTGTGAAAAGTCGATATACATCATGACAAAGTTTCAAAGTTGACAAGAGTGGGGTGGCTGTTGTGTTTGTGGACTTAGATAAGATTGGTTTCTCACGCAAGTATCGACCAATTGCCCATGACCCAGAGATAAGGAAACCTGGGCTGATTTTTTGATGCACTCCTAAAATTTTTAATTAGACTTGTTAAAGTGCTTGAAAACTTTCCTACTTCTAATAGGAGTTGTCTGACCTATTATTACAGAAGGATTGTTTTGTTTTCAGATAGCAAAGCAGCCCAAACTGAAAACTTGAACATCTTTATGCTGAAGTTAAACCTAACTTCAGTTAAATTTATGCTGAAGTTAAACTTACTTTCAGCATAAAGAAAGGATCTACTAACTCACTGACTGACACCAACCTGAAAGCAGCGAGCAGCGGCGCGTAAATGGAGTCACCGTCGTAAACGTAGAGATGGTCCCAGCTGCACTCAGTGGCAAAGTGGTTGAATCGTAATCTCAGAACGGTGTTTGGCCTGCAGAAGAGAACAGAGTTTTATTATTATTATTATTATTATTATAATATCTGTGTGACCGCTGAGGAAGTGGAAGGTGTTCTTGATTTAAAATTAATCATTTTATATAAACGTGGCAAGAACTTGAGATTTGTTTTACATGTATAAAAGATCAGTGTGCTAATTATATTCTCCTCTTTAAACTAAAACATTAAGCTTTTGTCATTGTTCATGTAAACACATTTCTGTTCTAGAGCGTTTATTCTTGATCAAGAGTCCAAGCAGAGCTTTGAAAGTGATGGATTCTGCAAACAGGTTGTTTCTAAACCTTTAACTATTTTTGCAGCTACTGTTCTTTAGCATTAAAAGTGGAAAAATCCTGAAGTGATAAAAAGTACTTAACAAAACACCTACATAAAAAAAGAAAAATTATATTACACATTTTACAAGCTATATCCACACACACACACACACACACACACCCCGACAGGAAGCAGGCCTCTAATGAGAGCGCTGCCAGTTAAAACAATGAAAGGAACAATAAAACCCCCAAGGTGGTCACTCAATATAGCAGCAAAACATGTTTCATATTTCAATCTTTACTGGGGTATAAAGCTAAGAGCAAAAATACATTTTAAAGAAGGCTGGAAAATTAAAACCTCTGAGCTGTTCATGTAAGCTCAAATTAGCAGAAAAGGTACTGGATGTTAATAGTTTAACTATTAGAGCCTACAGGTGAGAAACTCAAAAGTCTGATCTTTTTCCATTCAGCAAACACACATAGCCAACAACATGCTTCAGTGTGGAAGTTGTGATGGAGCAAAGATTACTCAGTTTTCAGAAAGTGCTTAAAATCAATTCTAACTTTGCAAAAGGGGGCTTTAATATAGGATAAGATGTTGCGTGTTTCTTAACGACTTATCACATGAACAAACTTATTCATGTGTGATTTTAATTGCATTTCTTATTTAATGGAAACACCACTATCGCAAAAGTATGTTTTTTCGATATCATTGGCAAAGTTTTGCGCACATTTGTAACGGAAACACAGCTAGTGTCAAAAAAATAAATAAAATGGAGCAGATTCCTTGATGTAGGTAGGAGTTTTGAATCTTTGTAACTCCAACCTTTAACAGGTCTTATTCAACTCGAATCAAACCATTTTGTTCATGACTTTACAGACAATAGTGGGTCTTTTCAGTGCCAGTGCTTTTAATGAACATGGGGGAAAAAAAGTAGGGTTTTTTGGGGGGTATTTCACATGCCAATCATAGCCATTTCATGATGCATCACTAAATTTGACCACCAGCAGCAGCAGACAGCAGAGCAAGCCTGCTTACTGAGGCTTTTGACAGAAAACATGAGATTCATAAAAATATGTCTCAGCTGTAAATCTATTTAACGTCTGGAAATGAAAACACTCACAAGAGAATAAAGATCCCTTCTGCGCTTCTTTGGTGAAATACAGGATTTAGGAAGTGCTTTATCAATGGTCACATTTTTGTCCTAAAAATGTTTCTTCACTCAAGTGGCGATTCATTTGTCCCCTCTCTGAGAGGAAAACTTAAAGTAGGCATGACAGCAGCCCCCGAGCCCCTTCATTACAGGACAAGACTTGTGACCAGTCACACAAACTGGAGACAGGCTAAGGAGGCGCAACAAAGAAATGTCCTCTTCTACATTAGCAGCAGCCAGTAGAGTCCCTTTGAGCGTTGGAGCAAAAAAAAAAAAAACCACACAAATCAGGACAAAATGTCTTCATGGGTCACGTCACTGCAAGCCATTTAATGAAGAAAATACGTCCGATGGTACAAAGTTATTCCTTTTACGGTAAAAGGGGTTCTGCAAATTTCATCAACATGAAATTAAGTCTTTTTAACACTATTGTGAATGACATATATGATCCGTATCACAGCAAATAGCTAGCTAGCTTACAAAAAATATCAGTCTTGATATTTTTTGTAAGGATAGAAAACTATTGAAGAAGAATTGGTACTACTTGTGAGATTAACCATTTTTGAGCATATTTTAACTATTTAGTCACATTTTTTTCCTTTAGACTGAGACATTAATTACATTTCCTTTTGATTTTTTTTCCCCGTTTGTCATCGTCTGTGGCTCTCCATTTTAATTTGGTTCCTCGTTTTCAGCTGTTTTTCCCTCCTTAGTAGCTTTGTTTAAATAAAATTCCCCAATAGGCAAAGCTGGTGATTGACCACCGAGATTAAAATCCACTGAACCTCCGACTTCAGAGTTTGTGTCACACCAAACGTTGCTTTTAGATCAGCGCTAGCAGTAGCAGCGCAACCATTTTCAGGGGAGCTTTAGCCACACAAAGGAGATGTTCGCAACAGAAGTAAACCGGAAGCAAAGACAAACATCGTCCAGCCAACTGGCGAGAAATTTCCACCATGATAGACATTAAACAAATAAACTAACAAGTTAGCCAGGTAGCTAGCAAAAGGTATATTAGCAGCTAGTTGCCTGGAGTCAAAAAGAGTAATGAATATGTCTGCGGGCAGCTCAAACGTTTGACAGAAAAGTCCTGCTAGGAAAAAAACAAACAAAAGTCGACATTCTCAGGACTTCATTTTAGATACATGAATTTAAGACTTTTTAAAGAAGCGCAGACAGCCTGTTTAATGTTATTAATGCAAAGTAATCAATTCAATACATCTCTCTCTACCTTCTTTTAAGATTCATGTGACATCTGAAGAGAACTGAATGTCACAACAATGAAATTCAATCTATCTTATTGGGATTTTCTGTGAGGGTGCTGCTGGTGCTATATACAATCTATTACTATTTATTCAGTGTGATGTATAAATATATGCCACCAATACGGATACAAATTTGAAAAAAAAAACAAAAAAAAAAAAAAAAAAAAAAAACCCTGGGTATTTCTCCTCCCCCC